AAAAAGGCTTTCTCATCTTAAATGCTATATTAATTAATAATACTAATGCCTATGTTAGTCATATGGGGATTTACAGGACAAGAAAATTAATATCCCAGAGCCAATATTCTCTCCACAATAACTCTGCACATATTAATTAGTTAAGAAACCAACAAATCTGTTATCACATAGTGCTAGACATACTGAATCAAATACTACTCATATTAGTATAGGGACCATGAGTAGTATACAATGATCCCCTAAAATACTAAGTAAAAACATATTCGATGCATTGCACTGTCATCTGATTTAAAATTTTTTTAATAATTATATACTTACTTAAATCTAAGACACCATTGATTGAAAGATGAGTCTTGATGTCCAAAATGTTACAGTGTAAAAAAATATGTATCACAGAATTAAGAAAATATATTAATTTCATACTACATAATAAACATTTGTAATGACTAATTTTCTGGAAATATTTCAGCAAAATAGTTTAGCATTTGATAAGGCATATAGATCCATTATAACTTATTTTCTATAGACATAGGTATATCCTTGGCACTTTAATTCTGAGAAATAAGTAGAAAAACACTATTAAGAAAAGACACCCATACTACCATCACACAACATAACTTTTAAAATTTATTTTAAATGCTACCTGTCTTCTTTTTTAGGACATAAAAAATTACAAGTAAAGCTAAAGGCCCCTTTCAATTAGCATCCCCAATCTCAATATGCTAGACACAACCACTATCAATAATTTGGTACATACCCTTCTAGCCCATTGTAGATAGTTTTACATATATACATACATCAACAATAAAAACATAGTACCATTCTTTGTGGATGATTTCAATTCATTCAATGAATGTCATTATACAATATCATTTGTATCTTGATTTTTTTTTTACTTGACATTATTTCAGGTAACTATCCATGTTACAAATATATGATACAAATACATTGCTTTTAACTGCTATATAGAATTCCATCATTTGAATATATCATATTTTATTCATTCATTAACCCAGTCATGTAAGTTTAGGTTGTTTTCAATTCAGGCATACACACATTTATGTGCAACCTCCACCACACACACATAAACACACACATGTGAGTTTCATCAGGATGTATATGTAGAAGCAGAATTGTAGGGTTTTTATTTTTTTAAAAAAATGCTTACCTGCCTCAACATCCTGCCTCAACATCATAAAGACAGCATCTTGTATTTTCTCCTAATTGTTTCAGAATTTGGCTTTTCACAATCCAGTGTTCAAATCCTTTAGAATTGTTTCTTTATATATTGTAAGATTAGATGTAATTTTATGTTCTCCAATATGGAGTCAAATAGTGCCACAGTTTGTATTGACTAATCAATTACTTAGTCATGATGTTTTGTCTAACATGTTCATGTATATTCTGGGGACTGTTGTAGGCAATCTATTTTGTAAAATCTGTTTATTACCTTTAATGCACTAATATAAAATACTTTTTAATGACTATAACTTTTATAATATGTGTTGTATATGGTATGGGGTTGTTTCCTTTCTGTTCTTTTTAAAAAATTGTTTCAACAATACATAGACTTGTATTTCATGTGACTTTAGGATCATTTTGTAAAGACTCTAAAATATTCTTGGGAAATTTTGTTTGGCACTGCATTAAACCTATAGATTAATTTGGGGAGAACTGACATTTTTATGATATTGGATTTTTCCATTTAGTTACATGGTATTTCTCTGCCATTATTCAAGTCTTACGCCCTTCAAAGAAGTTAAAAATTTTTTTTTTCTGTAAAGATACTGTGTATTTGTTGTTGTTGTGTTTGTGCCAACTTATTTTAAAAGTTAGAGTTTAGTTTGAATTCAAGAGGAGGCCTTCTTCTGTGTCTGCACAGGGAGACAGATCAAGGGGCAGGACTGCATGGGAGGTAAGGACACAGGGAATAAATGGCTATGGGGAAGAAGTGGGAGGAGACCTGATGCATTTTGGGAGACTGCAGTCAATGTCTTGAGACAAAGTTTATGTGAAATGCTGTATGGAAGATGAATGTGCTCTGCAAACTTTCACCCAAATCACAATAAAATTTAAAAATGAAAGAGAGAAGGCCTTTTTTTCATTCAGGACACTTGGTGCTTTTCACCTGTATGACTCCTCTTATGTATAGAAAGGGATGCTCTTTGAGAGAATGCTTTCCCACATTCATTACATTCAAAGGGTTTCTCACCAGTATGACTTCTCATGTGTATAATAAGTAGTGAGCATTGAGAGAAGGATTTTCCACATTTATTACATTCGTAGGGTTTCTCCCCTGTATGACTTCTCACATGAAGAGTAAGGGATGAAATTCGAGAGAAGGCTTTATCACATTCATTACATTTAAATGGTTTCTCTCCAGTATGAATTTTCTCATGCTCAAGGAGATTTTGTCTCTGACTGAAAGCTTTTCCACATTGATTACAATGATATGGTTTTTCTCCAGTATGAATTTTCTCATGTTCAGTAAGATTTGACTTTTGACTAAAGGTTTTCCCACATACTGTACATGCATAGGGTTTTTCACCAGTATGAATTCTCTGGTGTCGAATGAGGTTTGACATCTGAATAAAAGCTTTCCCACATTCATTACATTCATAAGGTTTCTCTCCAGTATGAATTTTCTGGTGTGTAATGAGATTTTCTTTACGGCTGAAGGCTTTTCCACATTCATTACATTCATAGGGTTTCTCAGCTGTATGATTTCTCATATGTACAGTAAGCGACGAACTTTGAGAGAATGCTTTCCCACATTCACTACAAACATATGGTTTCTCACCTGTATGACTTCTCATATGTATAATAAATACTGAGCATTGAGAGAAAGCTTTTCCACACCTATTACATTTATATGGTTTCTCCCCTGTGTGACTTCTCATGTGCAGAGTAACAGATGACATTCGAGAAAAAGCTCTACCACATTCATTACATGCATAAGGTTTCTCCCCAGTATGAATTTTCTCATGTTCAATAAGGTTTTGCTTCTGGCTGAAGGATTTCCCACATTCCTTGCAATCATAGGGCTTTTCTCCAGTATGAATTCTCTTATGCTCAATGAGATTTGATTTCTGACTAAAGGCTTTCCAACAATCCTTACATGCATATGGTTTTTCCCCAGTATGAATTCTCTGGTGTCTAATAAGGTTTGACATCTGAATGAATGCCTTTCCACATTCATTACACTTATAAGGTTTTTCTCCAGTATGAATTTTTTGATGTGTAATAAGATTTTCCCTCCTGCTGAAGGCTTTTCCACATTCCTTACAATCATAGGGCTTCTCTCCAGCATGAATTCTTTCATGTATGATGAGGTCAAATTTATGATTAAATTCTTGTCTACACTGGTTACACTTAAAAGGAGTTACAACATGAGATGAGAAATGGTAAAATGGTTTTCCATACTCATTACAGTCATAATTTTCCTTTCTTACACAGCCTTTCTTAAAATTAAGTAAGTTTAAATTATGTTCCAAATCCTTATCAAAACGTTCTTTTTCATAGAAGCTTTGTCTTGAAGTAGCAATGTCTGAGCTCAGAGGAATTATTTTTTCAACTTTTTTGTATTCACTGACTTTTTCCTTAATTGCAGTTTTCTTGGAGATGGATGTGATTTTCCTCAAAATTGTTTCCTGTTGCTTCTTGATCTGCTCACCAACTTCCAAAACTTCTAAAATGGAGGACCAAAAATTATTACTTGTAAATTTCCTACTACTGTACTATTAATATCATTTCAGAAATTTTCTAATGTGAAGTTGAATGTCTGATGTTGGTTGGCCCTAGTTTCCTCAAAGGAAAGAAATCCAAAGTGCAAACATCCCTAGTTCCTAAGGTTTGAGAAAGTAAATTCTATAGAAAATATTAGGAAGAGAACTGATTATTTGTGGGCCACAGTAGTTTGACTGCTTTTCAAAGTGTCCCTGTACAATATGAAAATCAGTAAAATAGAATAATTAAGATGGAAGCATGAACACAAATAATTGGATAGTGAGTTGAATAACCAAGGACAAAATTAACACTATGGTTAAACACAGTAGATTGAATGTACATGTTTATTTCTCCTGATTGCTAAAATTCCATGATAATATATGACAGTCAAAGAATGAAGGGTCAAAACTATGAGGAAAAAACAAACAAACAAACAAAGGAATGTAAACAACAGTGAATAAGAAATTTCAACAAAATAGTGGAAAATGAAAGGTATATGGGGAACTGTTAACTGATAGCAGAATTAAAAAGCTAAACTGAAAAGTACCATGATGATGAAAATGTCACTAAGAAACAATATAATTTGGCCACAGAACACTGGAAACACTCATGCATTGGAAGATTCAGGTATTCAATGAGTGGGGATAAAAATGGGGTTGAAAAGAAGAGGATTAATGTAAAGTTTGAATAGAGAATCTCCCTGATGGAGATACTGTGAATTTTGCTTAGGTAACCTTTATTCCAACTGCCTGGAAGAGATTGATATTTGTAACCATTCCAAAGAAAGGTGATCCAATAGAATGTGGAAATTATCTAACAGTATCATTTCTTTTTTTCACTTGGGGGTGGCTCTATTTTTAGGCTGGGGCCCGAGGTAGGTAGGCTTGGGACTTGGGGGCTGTTTTTGGCTTGGGAGCACCTCTAGTTTTAGGCCTGAGCCTGAGGTAGGTGATCCCAGGGATCAGATGATGCTTTTCACTTGGGGTTGGCTCTATTTTAAGGCCAGGGCTCAGGGGCTGTGTTTCACTTGGGGGCGGTTCTATTTTTAGGTCAGGGCCACAGGTAGGTGGGCCCAGGGCTTGGAGGCTTTTTTCACTTAAACAGAAACACATTGCTGTTGAGTCAGATCTGAGCCATAGTGACCGCTCCTTGGGTTTCTGAGGCGGTATCACTATGGAAGTACACTGCCCAACCTTCCTTCCCAGGATGGCTGGTGGGTTTGAACCGCCAGCCTTCTGGTTATCAGTCAAATGCCTTAGGCACTATGCCACCAGCACTCCTTTTTACTTAGGGGTGGCTCTATTTTAAGGCCAGGGGCTGAGGTAGGTGGGCACAGAGGATTATGAACAACTAAGGGAGACAAACTTATCTGTCAGTTTGTTGTCCTGTGATGGCTTACGTGTTGCTGGAGGCTACTGCACTG